GGAACTAAACAGATTTGCTTGCCACCGGAAGTTAGAAATGAACATCCCTCTGAACACGACGGGTTAAAAGAGCGGTCAAGAAGGCCGCATTCAGAAGATGCTTAAGAAAAAAAAGAGTCTTCAACTCGCATGGACTACGAAGAAGCGCACAAGACAACAGGAAATGCTACAGCCAAACTGTATGCTGACTCCTGGAAGATATTCATTGGGTATCGGAGTCGAACTTCGAGACGAAAACAAGGTTGCATGTCGGTCTTGTATCCGTCAGAGAATTAGAAAACCGACACAAAACTAATATTCAGATGTAGCATGGATAGAGACAACTAGCGAAGATGTCAGGACGATGGTTAAGGATCTAAAATGTCATAATTTTGACTATTTATTATTCGAACATCTGTTACCTCTTTCAGTTCCTTTTGGTACACGTACGCATGTCGCTCTCTAATTTAGGACTTGCTTCGTCAACATCAAATGTCTGTCTAGTACGAAATGATATTAACCGGCTCGTGGAGATATAAATCAGTCGAACAAACGGTTCCAAGCCTGAGTAAATTCTTCATTTGAACTGAGGAGATTTTGGACCTCAAACCATTGTTCAATATCTCATTCATTAAGATAATGATTTGTAACGGATATATCGTGCATAGAAAGAGGAAGTATCTGTTGGGCTCTGAAACCTCATGCAAAATTCTTTGAAGGAATCGATGAGTTTCGCTTATCGAATAACATATCTCTACGTTTGCTGATTCACGAATTTTAGCAGAGGATAATCTTTAATGGCTCTCTGCGCTGAAATTTGTCACAGAAATTTTACGACAGATATTTGCCCATATTTAGCCTTGAATAAAAGTTCGAGAATTTGGGAAAAAAATTGAAAACCTATTTTGAGCAGTAATTTGTGAGCAGTGAAATCTTAAAAAAATGTTAATATCGGATTGAATCGGGAAAAATGCACATTGTAAAGCAGGAAAGGTCTGCTTCTCACATTGTTTTAACTGCACTATTGCCGCGCCCGTTGCGTCCAGATTCCTATAGGGATCATTCAACCAGGACACCGGTCCATTGTACTGAAACGCTTGCAGTTGATTCGATGGAGGACCGTGCCTCAATCGGCAGTTGACTACAAATATATTCAACTGAGACTGCCACGAGCCGGTGGAGGGCGATGGCCAAAAGAAAACCAGCACCTTTCGATTCCGCTGCTGAACATGCCATTGAGACTCCGCGACGGAACCATTATAAGTGCCTCCTACAATAATTCTTTTGCGTCCTGAAGGGATTGGCCGATATTAAAAATCGAGAAAGTTTATAGTAATCTATTCGCTGGTAATTACGTCCTGAGGTTGATCACCTTCGCTGATTCAAAACCATAGATAATATACTAATGACGTTCTTCAGATATTCTTCCCTCGAGATTAT